ACTAGACAGAGGTGCATATTACGGCACTTAATGCCACTGTACAATGTAACACCCACTTTTCACTATTTATGTTATGAGTCTTATGTAAAAGGGAGGGAGCCTATTGCTATATACCGGGCACATTTCTAGACCCCATGCCCAAACCGGGAATCGAATCCTAGACCCACTTCCGACCACTCGCAGTCGCACTTCCGACCACTTAGGCAACGAGGCAGTCAGTTAATGAAATATTGTAATATTAATATTTTAGCCTCGAGCCTAAAAATATTTTCTTTTTAAGCCGCAAAATGATATTGAAATTTGGGTTCCGAAATTCTCAGTAGTAGCTCAGAGACTGGAACTGTGGCCTCCAGCGATAATCATTATTACACGACCCTATTGATAGTACTAACAAAAATTGAGTCTTCTTTAGAAAAACCTTCGCTAAACTCTTCGTAGAAAAATATGGTTTTGTCATTGTTTTCTGAAAAAAAGATACTAGTAAAAATACTAACCTTAGGGCAACTAATAAAAGAACCATAACTGACATCTCCTAAGACATGCAAATAACTCAAGAATCATTATATATAATCGTGCTATTACAAATACCAAGTGCCATGGGAATCAGAACAAAAAGATATAATTATTTGAAGCTATGTTATTATAGCCTAGTCTAATTATTAGGCCATTAGTCTCATTTGAAGCTATAGATTAGTTGAAGCTAGCAGCTAATTTTGAACAAGTTTAGCTTGTGTATCAACAATTAGTTTGTTCCAGTTTTTTTTTTATTATTATTTAACCCGTTCTACTAGAATTTGTTTTACACAGAAACTTCACCTCGAGGTGGCACGCTAAGTCGTAAATTATAGAAAATGAAGTGCATTTTTGTTTTAGAATTATATTGAAATGAAAATCACACAACTAATATACCTTATAATTTACTCTCAAGTCTTTTACGAGGACAAGAAATTAGAAAAGTACGTAGCAGAACTGTCTGTTTTGTCAATTTGATTTTTAATTTCATGCAAAAATGTAACACAATTACAGATTATAATACACAGATTTCTGTACCTCATTTATAAATGTACTTTGTCTAATCCAACAAAATATGTTGAAATTATATTTGAACTCAAAACTTGCAATTATTTAATCACCGAAACAGTCTATCACCATTAAAATCTAATTCGTTAAAGAGAAATGGAACACCCTACTTATTTACTGGACAGTAAAAATACAATTTACAAGAACAAATTAATAAAGAAGAAACTGCGACTATAAAACTTTGGTTCAAAACATTGTTTTAAAACATTTTAAACCTTCACTCGATGTTATTATTGTTTCTTTTTCTTTGCCGTAAAGAATTTAATTTAAAGTGAGATGTAGACCATAAATGGCGAATTGATGACTGTCTTTAGAACTGTGATTGCAGGTGGCATTGCTAAGTAAGAATTCTTTAGTCAATTTTACTTTTTTAGTCTAGGCTCGGGTGCAAATTCCTTAACATTTCCACTTTTATTGTACTATGTAGTAACGATTATGACGAAATATACATTTTGAGCCCTTTAGAAATTATGCTCGTAGACTTTTTTAGAATTCATTAGTCTTATTGTAGATAGAAATCCTACTATTGTACAAAATATTATAATTAAAACAGAAATTTGAAGGTTCCTAAATCACAAATTCCTGATTTTGATCGCTGAGTGGTCGCAAGTGCGACTGCCGGGCAAGAGGTCTCGGGTTCGATTCCCGGGTCGGGTAAATTACTGCTGGGCTTTTAAAAAAAATCCACATTAGTAGCACGGAGTCTGGAATTGTGCCCATATATGGCAATAGGCTCACCCCCTGTTACATGGGACTCATAACATAAATAATGAAAAGTGGGTGGTACATTGTATAGTGGCATTAAGTGGCGTAATGTGCACCTCTGCCTACCACATCGGGGATAAAAGGCGTGATATTATGTTATATTAAATGCAGGACATTAAAACTGTACTCCAGATATACCTACACAAATGTTTTCGTCAATCAATGTGACAACTGCTCAGATTTTAAATTCAGGTTATGATTTA